TTATTTTCACCACTTGCCTACCTGTTGCTTTTAGAATCAAATTCCAGCTCCTGGTTTTCACTACTAGGCACTGCCACTGCCCAGCACTACTCCTGCTGTCTGTGTCTCAGTGCTTCTATGTCCTTGTATCACCACTGCCACACTTTGTACCTTACAAAGTTTCTGCTTACCTACCCTAGTATCTACCCTTTAGAGCAGGGGTAGGCAACCTATGGCACGCGTGCCGAAGGCAGCACGCAAACTGATTTTCAGTGGCACTCACACTACCTGGGTCCTGGCTACCGGTCCGGGGAGCTCTGCATTTTAATTTAATTTTAAGTGAAGCTTCTTAAACATTTAAAAAACCTTGTTTACTTTACACACAACAATAGTTTAGTTATATATTATAGACTTGTAGAAAGAGACCTTCTAAAAACGTTAAAATGTATTACTGGCATGCAAAACCTTAAATTAGAGTGAATAAATGAAGACTCGGCACACCGCTTCTGAAAGGTTGCCGACCCCTGCTTTAGAGTCACAGGTAAAAAGCAAGTGTGCATTAGGATCACATTGGTAGAGGACTTAGTGAACAATTTCGTAGCATCTTATCTTTATGGGTATGTCAAATGTGACTCCTATTCAGGAAAGCTATGGTTCTTGCCACTCTATCGCCCCAAATGACTCCAATAATGGAGGCAAATCTTACTCACTTTATGCATATGACTAGTTCTATTGAGGTCATAAGAATGGCCATACTGGTCAGACAAAAGGTCCATCTAGCCCAGTATCCTGTCTTCTGACAGTGGCCAATGCCAGGTTCCCCTAATGGAATGAACAGAACAGGTAACCATCAAGTGATCCATTCCCAGCTTCTGGCAAACAGAGGCTAGGGACACCATCCCTGTCCATCCTGGGTAATAGCCATTGATGGACCTATCCTCCATGGATTTATCTAGTTCTTTTTTGAACCCTGTTATAGTCTTGGCTTTCACAACATCATCTGGCAAAGAGTTCCACAGGTTGACTGTGTGTTGTGTGAAGAAATACTTCCTTTTGTTTGTTTTAAACCTGCTGCCTATTAATTTCATTTGGTGACCCCTAGTTCTTGTGTTATGAGGAGTAAACAACACTTCCTAATACTCAGTGGAATAACATGAAAAAGCAAGCTTTCAGCGTCCGCAACTGTGCATGTTATCACATAACACCCTAAGACAGTGGTTCCCAAACTGGGGTTCGTGAACCCCTGGGGGTTCGCAAAATGTTACAGGGGGTTCTCGGGAAAAAAGTCCCTAATGGAGGACAGAGCTGTCCCTAGGGACCCTGGGCAGCACAGCCCGGAGCCGCTGGACTTCCAAGAGCTAAGCAGATCAAAGCAAGCAGATCTATCACACTGAGGAGATTGAAACTTCAAGACTCCTTATAAGAAATGGAAAGGGAGGTGGATATTTTTTGCTGTTTTTAAAATGAAATAGGCAGCTAGTATTGTTTTTAAAATTATTATGAAGAACAAGTTTAAGCTTTGTTGTAACGTGCGTTGTTTGCCTGGACTGCTCAAGACCTGAATGCTTGTGTAGGAGGAACTCTTTGAGTTGGCTTCTTAAATACCTTCATGTTGTTTCACATCTGACACTCCTTGATGAAACATAGGAGCCTTGTCTTATAACAGGCTGATTCACATTGATACAAGCTACAGAAGTGATAACTTGGAAGAGTGTTGCCGTTTTCATAATGTAATAAAAATACTGTAATGATAAATAATAATAATAAATACTGTGCAATAAGCATGTCATAACAACAAATTTTATATTTCCAAGATCACTGCTTTTATAATTTATACTCAGGTAAAGGAGAAAATCCCTGGAAATATTCATTTTTAGGGGGGGGGTTGCGAGACCTGACATTTTAGTGAAAGGGGTTCCCAGGTTGTTGAAGTTTGGGAACCACTGCCCTAAGACAAAGGCCCATTTATATGGTGATTTTATGAGTCTCTTCTTTCTTATTAAGAACAGGTCTACATTTGAAATCTATTGTCTTGTTGAACTGAAAGCGCAGTTGACTAAATTTTGCACTGCACTGCAAAAATGATAGGTTTAAATTAAACAATGGTTTATGTGTGTGTGTGATGGTGGAAGTGAGTGCATTCATTCTGCTGTTTGTTTAAAGGATTAGAATTTTTTTCAATTCTAACCAAATATGGTGCATTCTAAAGAATTCTAGTCACATTTAAGTCAGTTGAGACTTTGTTAATATTAGAAAAATGACATTTTGACTTTGCAAGAAATGGAAAAGGTATGTTTGCACTTCAGGGAGACAAGTTTCTTTACATCTGATGCTACTAATAACCCTAACTAAAACCCAGGACATCTGTTATTAACTGTCTCAATAACAGGATTACTAAACATGACAGCTGTGTCCTTGTGGTAACAGCTCAGATTGTATTTAGGTAGTTTGGTCTGTGTCACTAAGCCATTCATTTATCCTTTAGCAATCTGATTATAAATATATGTTAGCATAGATATAAAATCTAAAGGATATATTGTAAAGAGAGAATGCAGATGGATGATAGAAATACAGGAAAGAAGTATAGGGAGAGAGCTCTACAAACAAGGTGGTTTGTGGGTCAATATGAACAACACTGTGAGTTTTCTTCTCTTCTTTGCTTTTTCCCCTTTCTGGAAAATTTCATGTATTAGCTTTAGCTTGCATATCCTCCACTGCAGAAAAGTTGATTATTAGAATACATCAAAGGTACCTCTTTATTTGTATATATTTTATTTATACAGACTGTAGGTGTACATGACATTTTGCAAATAAATAAAAATGACAAGTCCTTCTTGCTCCAAGGATCTAGCCATCTCAGGTAGACACAGCATAGTCAGGATGACAATAAGAAGGAGTGAGGGGGAGGGAGGACAACAGAGGAAAATCAGGGGATAGAGTTATTTTTACCTAAGATTTTATTCTTCTTCTTTCATCCAGACCACGTCACACGATCCATTGTCTACAGCCAAGCTCTAAGATACAACTGCATTTGCTCCAATCCCTCAGACAGAGACAAACACCTACAGAAATTCTATCAAGCATTCTTAAACTACAATATCCACCTGGTGAAGTGAAGAAACAGATTGACAGAGCCAGAAGGGTACCCAGAAATCACCTACTACAAGACAGGCCCAAAAAACAAAGTAACAGAACGTCACTAGCCATCACCTACTGCCCCCAACTAAAACCTCTCTAGCGCATCATCAAGGATCTATAACCTATCCTGAAGGATCATCCCTCACTCTCACAGACCTTGGGAGACAGGCCCCCAATGTGAAACAAATACTCACCAGCAACTACACACCACACAACAAAAACACTAACCCAGGAACCAATCCCTGTAACAAACCCCAGTGCCAACTCTGTCCACATATCTATTCAAGGGACACCACCATAGGACCTAACCACATCAGCCACACCATCAGGGGCTCATTCACCTGCACATCTACCAATGTGATATATGCCATCATGTGCCAGCAATGCCCCTCTGCCATGTACATTGGCCAAACCGGATAGTCTCTATGCAAAAGAATAAATGGACACAAATCTGACATCAGGAATTACAACATTCAAAAACCAGTAGAACACTTCAATCTCCCCAGTCACTCAATGATAGCCTTAAAAGTGGCAATTGTTCAACAAAAAAACTTCAAAAACAGACTCCAATGTGAAACTGCAGAACTGGAATTAATTTGAAAACTGGACACCATCAAATTAGGCCTGAATAAAGACAGGGAGTGGATGGTCATTACAAAAACTAATTTCCCCCTACTGTTTTACTCACACCTTCTTGTCAACTGTTTGAAATGGGCCACCCTCATTACCACTACAAAAGTGATTTTTCCTCCCTTGGTATTCTACTGTTAATTGAATTGTCTCGTTAGACTGACCCCCCACTTGGTAAGGCAACTCCCATCTTTTCATGTACTACATGTGTATATATATCTGCTACTGTATTTTCCACTCCATGTATCTGATGAAGTAGGTTCTAGCCCATGAAAGCTTATGTCCAAATACATTTGTTAGTCTCTAAAGTGCCACAAGGACTCCTTGTTCTTTTTTGTTCTTTTTTCTTTTCCAGTGGCCTCCTTTGTGTAGTGCATATTTTAAAACAAGTGTGGTCCTCAAACTGACCCCAAGCTACTCTTTTTACAGAGCTTCCAAGCTTGAGAAGTTTATTACCCTTTGACTCCTGCTTTTCAACTAACTTTCTATCTAGCATCCTATTTTATTACTCATTCCATTATTCCTCAGACATTAATTTTTGACGTGGAACTTTGTGGCATGCTTTTTGAAAATCCACTGAAGTTTCTGTGTTTGTCAAGAACTCCTTGTTGTTTTTGCTGATACAGACTAACACAGCTACCACTCTGAAACCTGTCAAATGAAACAATGACTAACACTTGAAGAGGCACCCACTAGCTGAAAAGGAAAGGTAAGAAAGGAGGGGTCAGTATCGTTTGATATGACCGTGATCAGCAGGACAAGTCAGAAACCTTCCTTCTCCCCAGAAGTAGGTTTGATTATTGTGTAGTCTGATTTATGATTGCCCCATTGTCACCTGTATGTATCAATCTTGCCTTACATCATTGCTGAGGAAGTTTAAAGCATTCCTCACTCTCATGACTCCCTGATATGCTACTCTTGGCTCACTCGAGCAATTTTTAATGCTTTTCTATTATAACCTCCTCGCCCCCACTTTCCCTCCTAGATGTTCTGCAGGGTCCCCCCGGAGTGAGCAAACGGACCTTCCCCGAAGTTACTCTACTGGGAACTGCCTATGACCCAATGGAACCTGGCTGCGGAGCCAGCATGACGCGCTCCCAAGCGGTGTGAACGGGCTGTTCGAATCGCCGCCCTTGTAAATAGGCGTGACTCAGGCTGCGCGCCACACCCACGCTCTGCGGCCCCGCGGGAGGAGGTGATCGCGGCGGATATAAGGGACGGGGAGATGGAGCAGGGGAGGACAAGCGTCGGCTCGCTTTCCCGATCGGTTGCCCTGCAGCAGGAGCGTCTCGGCCTTAGTTCCGCGTCTCCATCCCGGGCTTGGCTCCACTGCAGGCAAAGGCAATGAACTCGTCTGCCAGCCTCCGGAGCTGCTTAGCGCTGGGCTCGCTGCTGCTGCTGCTGGAGCAGGTTCTGGGCGCTCCCCAGGCGCTCGCAGGTAACAGCGGAGCTCCCGGCCCCGGCAAGCTGCGGGAGGGGGGTCGGCTCAGCGCGGCTTTCCTGGGTGCGTTTAGTCCTTGGACAAACGACTGTGGCTCCCTCCATCCCGGTTTTGTCCGGTGACGCTTCTTGCGCTGGCTCCAAGCTCTGTCTCTCCAGTGGGCTGGCTCCCGCCGCCAAGCCCCCCAAGAGTTTTATATTCAGCATGCCGGGGGCTAAGCTCACCCTCCGCTTCCTCCTGCCTTGTAAACTTCTCCCAGGGTCTAGCGTCTTCCCTCCCCTCTTTCTGCTAAGGCTGAAAGCCGGCCACGTGGAAACTGCCCTGGCCCGTTGCCTCCCTGCCTGGTGACTGACCCCGAAAGCGCTTGTCTCTCTTTACAGCCCCAAACCAAGAGGTCTGCCTGCTGCCCCCAGAGGAAGGCCCCTGCCGGGCTCTCATCCCGAGGTGGTACTACAACAGGTACACTCAGACATGCCAGGAGTTCACTTACGGGGGCTGCGAGGGCAATGCCAACAACTTCCGAAGCTTGGAAAGCTGTGAGAAAAGCTGCTGGATGATCCGGAGTAAGTCCTTTTTCTCTCCCTTTATTCAGACACAGGGGTCCTCACCCCAGAATTGGCTTGGGCATCCTGGGACATCTTGGTTATCCTGTGCTGTTGGTTAATAGTTCGCTGCCCAGGTTTGCATTAAGCGAAACAGACTACTGATCGCTTCCTTTATCCCCCCAGCACATCAGAATAGCTCCTTAGTCCTTCTGATGTGCATGCTTTCTGTAAAGGTAGGCTTAGGAGCCTATTCGCTCAGTAAGGTCAGAAAGCTCCATCTTGTTGTTTTTCACTAATATTTCTATGGCTCTTTTGCAGGGTTGCCCTACTAAAACTTTTACTATGCTCTGCAGCCATGCCTGTGGGTACTCATTACCCAGTCTAAAAGCATCCTTGAACTTCTGGGGAAGGTTGCATTCTATCAACATTTTGCTGCTTCATCAATTGAAGGCTTAGACCCCAAATTCTATTTTTAAAAAGTATTTCCTTCCAGCTACAATAAAAGTTGTAGTTTGCATATAAACCTCTATCCCAATATAACGCTGTCCTCGGGAGCCAAAAAAATCTTACTGTGTTATAGGCAAAACTGCGTTATATCGAACTTGCTTTGATCCGCCAGAGTGCGGAGACCCGCCCCCCTGGAGCGCTGCTTTACTGCGTTATATCCGAATTCCTGTTATATCGGGTCGTGTTATATCTGGGTAGAGGTGTATATGCCTATCACTTGAGCCAAAATGATACCTTAGCTAGTAGCTCTCAGGTGTGATGCCTTCACAAATCTCCACACCAAGAAACTTCTGGGAGCAGGCGAAGGTTTCCTTACTCAGTGGATTTTGCCAACTGTTTTTTCTCCTGGATTTATTATTTTGCCTGTAACAGCACTGGTAGTACTAGGGTTGATCCTACAACCCTAGCTAGGATAAAACTCCCACTGAATGGAGGCTTCTTAGGGCTTTGTTGGCTAAACCAATAAAATCACTCCACTGATGAAAGGACTAAGATGGATTGATGTATTTGCCTGGCTTCTTTTTGGAGCTCATCATAGTCTATCCCTAATGCATTTAAGATGCTCAGTCTAATGTTGTATTTTAACAATCAATTGTATATCTCTTAAGTATATCAGCAGAAGTTAAATAAGTTGAGAAGTATCTTTGCCAGTGGAAAACAGGTGAGAAAAGATGTAATAAAGTTTAGCTTAACTGTGCTTTGATGTTTGAATGCTCTTTATTATAGAAGTGCCCAAAATATGCAGGCTGGAGGCTGATCCAGGACCATGTAGAGGTTACCTAAAAAGATATTTCTTCAACCTGACTTCAATGAAGTGTGAGAAATTTATCTATGGTGGATGCTATGGAAATGATAACAACTTCCAAGATGAAGATTCTTGTGTGGACTACTGTTTGCCTCAGAAAAGTAATGATTACTCCAACGTTCTACTAAAATAACTTATTTTTTTTAATGTGCTATCAATAAAAAAGATGGTATTTATCAATACAAATGTTGTTCTTCTTTTGACCTATGAAGACACCTTTAAAGTAGGCTTTGCCTCTACTGTTTAAAGTCTGATATTTGCTCATTGCTATAATGTGTTTCTGAGCATGTCTGTGCATGTCAATTTTGACTACACACTTTCAGGAATCATCAGCCTCCACTGCCTGTTATGTAAAGGACAAAACCACCAATGTAAAAATATTGTATTACAACCTGAATCCTGCCCAACAATTATACCCACACAACCCCTCGACTTCTGAGGGATTGTAGGGGTGTAATTGAGGGCAAAATTTGGTTGTGTGTGCCTGTGTTGCCGCAGTTCAGTATAATGCAGTGGTTGCTGGGCTTCAGGTGGATGATGCCTGAAGTTCAGGGACAGAGTGCCGCCTTAAAATTAAAGACCTGAGAGAGACGGCCAGGTTATTTGCTTTCGGCACTCATTTGATCTCAGAAGGCAAAGAACTTTTATTGGGAGTTGTGACTCTTTGTTGCCTCATGTTCAAAGGGAAAGATAGTTACCTGCTTACAGTAACTATCTAAGCTTTGTAGCAGAACCTCAAATGTATACCAGATGCATAAAACTATCATTAGATGAATAAGCAGCCATCATAACATGCATCATGACACTTTCATTAGTTTTGAATCATGGCAGAATTGGCAACATTTTCACGGGTGAAAAGTTTAGTTTCTCTTGCACATTTAAAGAATGGGCAAATATCAACAGTAACAAAGACACAATTCTGATAAGAAAAAACTAACCCGATTCTTTTAACTTGTATTAAAAAAAATTGTATTTAGTTGTACTTCTCAAATCATTGAATGGCTTAAGGGCAAAACTATGCCTTCCTTACTCACAGAAGTAGTCCTATTGAAGTCATTCCTATATAAACGTGTAAGAAATCAGCATGTGGCTCCAAATTATTCATATTTATCAGCTACACAGCACTGTCTACAATGAACTGCTGAATCTCACATGCAGTGTGATTGTGTGAGGGCTCTTTATATGGTATCTGAGATGAGTATACGGTTTACTGATGGGGACGTAAGGAGCCTGTCCTACTGAGTCAGTGGTAATTTGGTGCAGTATTGCCCCAAGTTTTGTTTGACATGCAACAAGTCAGATCTACTGACGGTTACAGTGATTTCTTTTTCTTTTTTTTTTTAAGCTGATCCCTCATTATGCTATAGCCCAAAAGATGAAGGATTGTGTTCATCTTCTGTGACTCGCTATTACTACAACTCAAAGAGTCAATCATGTGAAGAGTTCAGCTATACAGGTTGCGGTGGAAATGCCAATAACTTTGTTAACAAAAAAGATTGTTACAGTATCTGCAAGAAAGGTAAGATTTTTATTTTTACTGTTTAAAACGTACACACTAATTAGCATTTGTACAAAGCTGCTCTTCCTCAGTACACTTTACAAACATTACACCCCCAACAGTTGGGGGTCAGTATTATCACCAATGTGCAGCTGGTAAAACTGACACAGGGGGCCATATCCTGCTTTCCTTATAAGAATAGTCCCCTAGAAGTCAAGGAGACTAATAACTTGAGTAAAGTAAATAGGAGGTGGACCCTAAATGGTTAAATAAGAACAGCCATACTGGGTCAGACCAAAGGTCCATCTAACCCAGTATCCTGCCTTCCAACAGTGGCCAATGCCAAGTGCCCTAGAGGGAATGAACAGAACAGGTAATCATCAAGTGATCCATCCCCTGTTGCACATTTCCCAGCTTCTTGCAAAGGTCACAAAAGGACCCAATATTCACCCTGATTGAAACTTGTAAGAACACTAATGGGCCCCCCCCCCACCCCCCCCATGGACATTTTAACTAGAAAATTGTGTATATATGTTATCATCCCTGGTTTTAATACTTCCCATTTTGCTTCATTAATTTTATATGTAAATTTTTTCAGAGCTGAAAATAAAGCACCATAATATAGTAGCATTATACTATATGCTGACCCTAAAGTGTTCACCAACCGGAACTTCTTTCACCAATCAGTTCAGCTATTGACAGGATATAGTCTATCATTGATATATCAATGGGAAGATCTAAAGATGGATCTAGGATTTACATGGGTCACTATTTATTTGTTGAAAACAAAAGTAAACTCTAAGGTGACTTTTTTTAACTGTTTAGAACACTTAATACCAACAGGACTGTTTATGCACCATGTAGGTTGTGCAGTCAAGGACTCAATATCAGGAAATGTGGGAGGTAATGATCTGATCTTATAAGCATCATAGAGTGAAATTCAAGTCTCATTCTAATCAATGGTAGTTTTGCCACTGACTGCAATGGGGCTAGGATTTCACCCCAAGAATAGTGAAGTAAAGATGAAGTCAGTAGGACTACTTATTGTGGTAAACATTTTTCATGGTAGTATGTGTAGGATTGGACCCCAAGGCTGACCATGCAACATTGCCTCTTTGTGCATCATGATATGGTCTTTAATCACATGATATGGTTATCTGATAAGTGTTTATCTAAACTGTATTTTATTATGCAAAATAGCATGACCACAAAGTAAGACAGCATCATGATGCGGATGCACAAAAAGATAGGGATAAGGTTGAACATTCAGCTTTAACTTTTACACTTTGAGAGCTCGTTGGCGCCTGCAATGTTGCATTAATTCTATAGGATTCTTTTTTAAAAAGTGGGTGTGGGGGGGGGGGAAAGGAGGAATAAAGAAATATCATATTTTCTATAACACACAGGCACTAGTTGGCAAAGCCCAAGAGAAGCAAACCAGCCTCTTCAGCAAACTGTACTTTAAGACTCCCTAGACACTGGCCAGCTGAAAGGGATTCAGAGGATTCAGCACTGGGAGAGTGCTATTATGGGCAACTTTTAGGCAGCTTAAGCACATTCTGCTCCCCCAGGCAACTCTTCTGCCACCTTGTTGTTGTTGTGTCCAAAGTTGTGGTGACTGTTTTCTTTTGTTTGAATAAGTATATATCTGCTCTTCAAACTGATCAATGACCTTAGGGCACTTCAAGCAGTGGGGTGTGTTTTGGTTTGTTTGTTTGAATAAAGCATCCGACTAATTTCAACGATAAAAACCCTCCTAAAAACTGAGGATTTGGGAGAGAAGCAAAGGAGCTGAGGACTGGCCTTTGGGCATATGGATGCAAATTTAAAAAGAAGCACTAGGCAAAGTCTCTTGATCACTTTTGGAAAAGTGCACATTTCCCAAGCTCTGCTCACATATGCACTGAAAAGGCATGATCCAAAGCCCACTGAAGTCAATGGAAAAACCCCTAATGGGATATGGGTCTGGCTTTTATTGTGCTCTGAATTAACAAAAATAACATGACTGTACATGGTCAGTATGCAGTTTTCAAATGTTTGAACTTTGTATGAAATCAAAACCATTTTTTTGTAACTTGGCAAAAGCAGCAGTTAACTTTTAAACTTTGGCTCTGTTTGCTTTATTGCTTTTCAAAAGAAATGTGGTTAGAAAAATACTGTAATGGGGAAAATGTAACCTCCCCCCCCCCCCATACTGGTTCTTAAGAACAGTCAAGGGAAAATTTCAGCCTCAAAGTTGAATGTGTTTTGGAAAGGTTAGAACGTGCGTAAACAGGGAGATATAATGGAAAATAATCTGTAACCTCTGTTGCGATCAGTGTGAGTGTTCTAATAAACATTATGGGGAAAAAATAAGTGAGGTAGAATGACACTGTCAGACTATTTTTCCTAACTCCACTTCTTTTATTTTCTTAGCAGGGAGTAAGAAATCAAGTTTCAAAAAGTCAAGAAATAAACTTCCCAAGACTATGAGAAAACTACAGGAAAAAATCTAGTCAATCTAACCTAATGTGTTAAATCTGAAGAGCCCATCAATGTTAAATGCACTACTTTGACTTAGAGAGCCTCCTACAATTGTGTGTGTGTGTGTGTGTGTGTGTGTGTGTGTGTGTGTGTGTACAATTTTATTCCTCAAACTAGTTCTGTCTGAGAACTAGTCTCTTTGACCTGTTTTTTACATTAGAAGCAGCTATTATTAGTAATGTGAATTGATTTGTTTGGTTCTCTGCAACACTATTTTTGCTTAAAAACCAAATTTGAATTTCCATGTTTTTACTGAGAAATATTGCTACTGTTTTTGGAAAATGATTTTCCTGTCCCAATCCTGTGAAGCTTGAAGTACCCTTCATCTGTTGGTTTAACTAAGGTGTACACCAAGCTAGAGCCCTACCCTTAATGTTTTTAGCATTACTAAACTGAACATCAGCAGAGCCTTCCAAGACTGTATATAAATATCTATAATACTTGCATATCCTTTTGTCATTATCATTTAAACAGTCTATCCCTTAAAGGGAGTCATGTTTAAGTAGAAGAATCAGAATAGTGGTAATTTATATTAATGTGGCAAAGGAGATTAGAGCCTGGTTGAATTTTTTTTTTTTTTTTAAAAATTCAACTTCAGTGAAAGGAAGCCTTGATTTCCCCCTCCCCTTCCCCCCCCCCCCAAGTCTTTCCTAGCTTTGGTAATATGGAAAATAATGTAAGATCAAACCTGGCTCATCCTGCAAAAGGAAATTGGGCATGGAGTCTCTTGGACAACTTCTTGTTTTAACGGAAGGCAAGTAATAAACTACATAAGTATTTGAAATGAAGATGTAGTAACTGCATTCCACCTCCCACCCTGATACCTGGTATTGCCGCAAAACTCAGGGTCAGATCCTAAACTGGAATATTTCTGTTGACTTCGATTGGAGCTAAACCAGTTTATTCCAGATGATCTGGTCCTTCATATTTACAAGGGAGACTGTTAGAGCATAAAAATGGGAGCTTCTGTAACATCTCCCATTGTTCCTGTTTTGTGTCACTACTGTAATACTCATGTTAGTGTGCTGACAGACATGCTATAATGCATTCTTTTGTGTATTGTTTTACAAGATCCATGTACGAATTATGATTTTTTTCAGTTATAATTGATTTTTATTGGAAACTCATTAATAAAAATGTTTTTTTTAAAAAAACAACATAGAAAGCTGTTTTTGTCTTAATGCTATTAAGTATCCCTGTATAGATCTGTAAATGTGTGTAGCCAAACTAAATATGTCAAACATGACTCTAGGGTTTAATCTGTTAAATCCTCTGTGAACAAGGCCTGCAGATTACATCAGTCATTCATTCCCTATAGTTTGTGTATCTCAATTGGCCGTAAGGGATTGCTTTGAAATGGTGGTTGGATAAGTTCAATATCTGTTGTTGCCCTACGTGTGGATCTTTTCAGAAAACCACCTGCTTGGGCATAGCCAATGATGTCTCAGACATCTCTGTTCAGAATCTTGGTGCTGAAAAAGCAGCAGTGCAGTTCCAATCCTTTGTGGCACTAATCCTGGCAACACTCTCTAAATATGTATTTTGTAGTCTCCATGCTCTCGTATAAATATCACTTCTGCTCTGAGTATTCTTGACCTGACTGAGTTAAAATGCATAACAGGTGTTCTAAACCAAGAATAGCAGCACTGCTGATTTCAAACAAGTGAGGTTTTTTTTCTGAACTCATGGTCTCTACATTTAAATAAACACAACACACCTGAATCTCTCTCTCTCTCTCTCTCTCTGAGGCTTAAACCCCTAAATCCCTGGTTTTTGACCCAAAACATATTTCATTTGTTACTCTCTGTGCTGAACATTATTTTCTTTAATACTGAACCTTAGATGACTATTTGCTAACTTTCTAATGCATGGGCAAAGCTCTATTATTATTATTATTATTATTTATTTTTTTTTTTACTAAACTTCTGTCTGATTAAACCAACTTTTCAAACACAATTATGGGCTAGTTTGGCTGCCACTCAGGTCAGTGGGAATTTTGCAAGGTGCTTAGTGTGTGTGTGTGTGTCCGTCCGTCCGTCCCCAGCTCTGCGCAGACAGCCAGCACAGCAGACCTGGAGCAAACTGCCCAATGACCACAAGATTCATTAAGGTACAAAGGCACCAGGCTAGGTTTATTGTTGACAAAGCATGGTAATAGCACATGTCAGACTCTGAGGATACTAAGACATGTATGCCCGTGACAATGGACACAGCTCAGTGAATGGTGGGACTTTCCATTCCCCCTCAGCTGGCCAAATATACTCACTCTGAGATACAACTTTATACCCGGATACAAATAAGTTCATACTGCCTCTGACATAATTAGTTAGTGCTCCCAATGTGGCTAGTTATTACCCATCATCTTGTACATGTTGGTTTAATTAAAACATTTTTATTACGTACTGTCATCCTGACCTTCCCTTTTAGGAGGGGTTAGTGTGTTCATGTTATTCTTGGGGAAATGTTTTTGTACCACCCTTAATATCAGAATGTTTTGGTACCATTTAATATCAGAATGTGTTTGTGTAAGTGCTTTGTGCTTAGCACTTCTTAATGTGTCTTTTTGCAAAATCAGCCCTGTTTTTGCCAAATTCTGTGAGCAGGTTCTGCCTCGTACCAGGCCTCTGATACAAGGGCTTATGTTTCAGGCTCCTTTCACACTCAAACGTAGTAGATCATATAGATCCACAATATTCATTAATAAGAATAACCACTGTATCACTAACTTAGACACTCAGAATGAAATCCTTATCCCCCACTCTGGCCCCTCCACACAGGGTAGAGGCTACAGTGGCAGAAAGGGCCCCAAGAATCTGTGTATCCCACTGTGGGAGGATTCCCCATGCTCAGGCACTGAGCCACAAGTCTGCCTTCTGAAGATCTCCTGACAAGCCTTGGGGTAGGGGGTGTGACTGGAGGAAGGAAGGAGGGTCAGGAGAGAGCTGCACAACACTACACTGTGGAGATTCCCGGCAATGTTGCTGTCCATAGGGTAGCTATGAGGAGGTTGTCATAACTTAGACTTGGGCACTTTGGTCTCAATGGAAGTTAGATGCCTAGGTGCTTTTGAAAATCCCACTAGGTACCTTACTACATCTTTAAAAATCTGGTCCTTACTGGTTGGCTTATGCCATGAGGCAGGCCTAGGGTTTCTATCCTTTATTTAAAAAAAAAAAATCTAATTTAATACTGAATGTTTTTCTTATTAAATGCCTAAACCATTTCTAAATCTTGCTAATGTCTAGATTTAGTCCTATCTAGAGCCATTGAGTTCCACAGGTTAATTGTGCATTGTTCAAAAATAATTGTATTAATTTTTAAATTAATTGCCTATCAGTTTAAGTGGCTATCCTGCTCTTATGGTACAAGAGAGTAAATAAGAGCATTCAATCTACCTTCTGTGGGGATCATGGGTTTCCAGGCAGTGCTTAGACTGTGCCTCCCTCCCCCCACCCCCTTCTCCAGTGGTTCAGAAAAGCTCTAGCTCCCAAAGGGCCCTGCCCACAAAGCTCCTGATAGGTTGAGATATCCAGCCCCACCAATTGACTGGGATGCACTTCTTAAACCAGAAAGAGGCACAAGAATTTGTCTGAGCAACTAGGTGAGTCTCTGGCTGGCTGTTACTATAGTCCATGAGTAGGTGCTTGTTTCCTAAGCCCTGCCTCTGTCTGTTCCTGGTTCCTGCCTCACTCCAGGTCCCTGCTCCTGATTCTGTCTCTAGATCTGGTCCTTGGCTTCACTCCTACCTCTGGATCTGACTCTAACCATTAAGTCTGACTGCCCATGCCCTAGTCCCTACACCTTCTCTATGCCATTATTATTTTCTATGTCTTTATCAGGTCCCCTATTCTATGTCTCCTTTGTGAACTAACAATCCTATCTTTTAAATCTCGCCTCATGAGGTAGATTTTATGGGCCGCTAACAATCTTGGTTGGCCATCACTGCACTCTTTTTATTTCTGCTATTTAATATAATATATGGAGATATCCTACCTCCTAGAACTGGAAGGGACCTTGAAAGGTCATCAAGTCCAGCCCCCTGCCTTCACTAGCAGGACCAAGTACTGATTTTGCCCCAGATCCCTAAGTGGCCCCCTCAAGGATTGAGCTCACAACCCTGGGTTTAGCAGGCCAATGCTCAAACCACTGAGCTATCCCTCCCCCCTTTTCTTTTATATAGGGTGACTAAAATTGAAAACAATATTCCAGGTGAGGCAGTACCATTAATTTATATAAGGTCATAAGGATATTAATGTTTTCTGTGATGATTTATTTCCCCTAACTTTTTGTTTGCTGTTTTTGGCCACTACTGCACATCGTTTATCATGGCCCCTAACTCTTTGCCCTGAATTGTGAAGTTAATTTAGACCCCATTAATGTCCATTAGTTGTTCAAACTATTCATTCCAATGTGCATTACCTTGTATTTGTCAATAATGAATTTCATTTGCCACTGTGATGTCCATTTGCCTAGTTTTCCTAGGCTCCTCTAGAAGTCCTCCCAGTCTTCAGTAGTCTTGACTAAGCTACATAATTCTGTATTATCTACTGGTCCTAGAACTGATCCCTGGATTGTCCACAGTTAACCTTTTGCGATGTTGAAAATTAGCCATTTATTTCTGCATTATGGCCATATTGGGGATGAAGCCTGATTTTAGTAATTGGTGGCCAGCAATAGGTGTAGGTGTAAGACAGAGAAGGAAAGCAGTGATTTACAGCAGTGAAGCTTGGCTTCTTTTCAACCATAGGTAAGCGTCTCTGATGCAAATTGCTGCTTTCCGAGCTAACAACGTAGCTACCTTAACAGCTGGCCACAAGTTGTTGATATTAGCTAATCTCTAGTACAGGGGTACTCAACCTTTTTCTTTCTGAGGCCCCCTGACATGCTATAAAAACTCCATGGCCCACCTGTGCCACAACAACTGGTTTTCTGCATATAAAAGCCAGGGCTGGTGGTAGAAGGTAGCAAGCAGAGCAATTGCCCATGGCCCCATGCCACAAGGGGCATCACAAAGCTAAGTTGCTCAGGCTTCGGCTTCAGCCACAGGTGGCAGGGCTCAGGGCCCCGAGCTTCAGTCCCATGCAATGGGGCTTTGGCTTTCTATCCTGGGCCCCAGCAACTCTAATGCTGGCCCTGCTTAACGGAACCCCTGAAACCTGCTTGCAGCCCCCCAGGGGGCCCCAGACCCCTGGTTGAGAATCACTGCTGTAGTACAAACAAGGCCTTT